TAATTTTTTTTTGTATTCTTTAAATATTAATAATTTCCTTTTGTTGAAAATCTCATTAATTTGTATTTTAATTTAATTAATTATTTTTTACATTTGTATTGAATTTATTTTGTTATTAGCGTCAATGTCTTGCGTATTGTATGGTAGTTAGAATTCGGTTCCCTTGATTTTTTTAGATTATGCGTTATTTTATTATCTCTTGTTCAATGTTCTAACATTTGAATTTTTGCATGATGGAGTATTATTTAGATGGGGAGTTAAAACGGATGGCAGGGAAAGCTACTTGGAATAGTAATTTTGAGAGTTTTACTACTGTGTTGGATATGCTCGATGATCAGCATGGCGCTATGCTACGACAGTCCTTCTTGTGACCACTGTACCAGATACGGGAGGTGCAGTACTATGTTTTAGTATATTACATTTATAAGACAGTTCCTGCACTGGGGGCTCGCTTTGCGAAGTGAGGGGAGACAAGATGCCCTCGGATGCATCATTAGAGATCATCGCGAGCGGACGAATGTCCCACTGGAAAACAGTTATCGGCCCTCCTCAACGATCTTCAGGTAAGTATTAAGCATTTGTGATTTATATTATACGTAATTTAAAATCTGTTTACATGATCGTTAACTAGTTGAAATGTCAATATGTCAGCTTGAAGTCATACCTGAGTTAACGTCGTCGATGGAAGAGAAGGCTTAGGGTCTTGTGCGGGATTTAGGTGTTCCGCACACTCAAGACGAGGAGATGTCTTATTCGAGCCTGGACCGAAATTGGGTATGTGAATTAAATATAATTTATTGAATATCGTTTTGTATAAATTTATTGAATAATTTTTAATGTTGTTATTTATGTAGGAGACCGGTACAGCTAATTCATGATCACCTCCGCCAAGGGTATCGCCGCCACCATTGGCATCACCTCTGCCGAGAGCATCGTCACCGCCATTTGCATTACCTTCGTCGGGGGCATCGTCGCCCCATTGGCATCGCCACCACCTAGGGTATCTCCTTCTCCCTCGTCCGGACACCTCTCCCGTGTATCTCCTATCACCGCCATATGCCCGTCTGACTGGATTTATAGCGTAGGAGGTCGGCGCGCTATGACGAGAGTTGACGGAGAGGGTAAATGATCTGGGACGAGAGTTGACAGGGAGGGTCAACGATCTGACAGGGAAGGTCGGCTATCTGACAGGAATGGTCGACGATATGGGACGAGAGTTGGCAGGAAGGGTTGACGATCTATCATATGATGTTGGAATGCTACGGTCTTGTGTTGTCGACCTTCAGGATACGATAGCGGCACTTAGAGGAGATTTAGCCGGCAAGCGATGGGGAAATAGAGGGAATGACGGAGATGATGATCGAGAGGGTGACAGAGATGGTAATGGAGAGGGGGTCACCCACGATTTTGATGTGACAAGACATTAGAATTATTGTGGTTGTCTATGGAGGGAGAGGGGACGATGGAGGGGTGGCCCCGATGAGAGGTGCGAAGGAAGGGGAGGCTCCGATGGGAGGGGCGGAGGAGGTGGAGATAGAGGAGGTAGCGACGAAGGAGGTGGTCCTGAAGGTCGAAAGGACGCCCGTCGTGATTGAGGGTAAAAGACATGCTGTTAATGAGACGGAGCAGGTGGTCGACAAGAGGTTGAGAGTGCCGTCACAATATGTTGTTTTCCCCCTTCACGGCTGAGGCCAAGAGGAGGACGTTCATCGATGAGATGCACCCGAACTTATTCAGGGAGGTGGACAACATCAAGTGGAAAGCGTTCGAGACGAAGTGGAGGAGAATTATCCCCGGGTAAGTATTGTATGATTTTAATAAAGCACTGTACGCTAACTCGTCTATATTTATTTTAACATTTTCCTTTTTCTTCAGAGTTATCCGCACGATAGGTCAAAGGACGGTCTCGGACGCTTACAAGTGGTTCCACAATATCACCACTTCGGGAGCTTGGCTCGCCGACGATGTAAATGAACTATTCATTTTGTGTTTTTTATGTATACGTCACTTTGTGTTTATTAAATGAATAACTCATACTTTTTTGGTGTTTTCTGATGCAGCATATCAACCTGGCCATGGACTTGCTGCGAGATCGAGCTCAAAGCATCCAAAATCATTTGATGTCCATGGTCGAGTCATATTAAACATCGAGTTTATGTGTGCCGTTACCATAGAATATCAGTCACTCCAACTTATGGATAATGAGTACATGGTACCAGAATATATGCTCGAGTGGGTCATAGGAATGTCGCCGAGTGTCGGGGAAAAATCATGAGAGAGTTGTATACATATGTAAATTTCAGCGTGCATCAATAATCACTATGTAACGCTAGAGATCGTTTTTGCTGACAAGACTATATATGTGTACGACCCAAATCATTTATGTTTGACAGAAGACCACCTCGAGCAAAACCTGGAGTCCGTAGCTATAATTGTTCTTATGATGGCCACACGAGCGAGAATGACTGTACATGACAGATTGCGAATTGTTCGGAACACGACGACAACACGACAGTCCATAAGGTAAGTGTTTGAACTTTGTTGTTTTCATATTTCAGATTTAGTTTTTAGCTACACAGTACTGAATTGATCCATTCTTGTTCAATTGTAGCGGTGACTGCAGCATATTTGCTATTAAATATATTCAATTTTTAAGTATAGGACATAATGTTGATGGAATCAACCAATCGTGGATACAAAATTGGAGAAAGAAGTTAGCTTGTGATTGTTCGAATTTAATGGTGATCTGTAAATTTGTATTAAATATATGTAACATTCAAATTGTATATTTAATTAATTTTTGTGATTATGAAATAATTTTAAATTTGTGTTCAATATATATAACATTCAAATTGAAAATTTAATTATTTTTTTGTAAATTGATTTTTTGTTATTTTTACACATATGCCAAGTATGAAACTATTTTTTTATATGAATCATTATAAATAATATTTACCAAGAATAAATATTGAAGATTGAATATTTATGAAGAACAAATATTGAACAATGTAAAGTAAACGAAAATATTATTCATTTAACGTATCTGTATAATTGCCATTTAAAGGAATTTGATTGCTACAAAATTGTTGAGTACGCCCTATGGCTTTGCACATGCCACACCTACGTGATTGAGCAAACTCTCCGGTAAATGATATTCTAGATGTACTTGGACGTTGAGGACCACGCGGTTTAACTGCTGGTGGCAACAAAGTATTAAACGGGAGAATGTGCTCGGGAATTTCCCACTCGACTTCATTTGGTAAAGGAAATATAGTTTCAGCATATGCTGTTCTCTAAGACTCAGTCGTATAATACAAAGAGCATAACGTTCTTTCTGCAAAGTCTCGATACATGGCCACCACAACTGCATACTTATATGAAAAACTCTCTAACTGAAATCTCATATAAGTGTATGTGTTATCAGTCAAGTCCATCATATATGTCGTATTACGTGCATATTGCACGGATAAGCGGAACTCATTTAGTGCTTCCACATTCAACTTCCTTGCAACATCTGCCGTCTTAAAGAGTTTCTCCTCTTGAGCTGAGGCCAACAAGCTAGTACAACTCTGTGATGCCGCACGTCAGTCATGAAATCAGTGTTGCAGCTTGTTACGAACGTTCTCAATCATTGCGAGAATTGGTAACTCTCGATCCTTCTTAAACAATGTATTGAGAGACTTCACATTATTTGACGTCATCATGTTGTATCGATGTCCTGGAAAGTATGACCGCGCCCAATGTCCGATCCCCATGTTCGTCAGATACTCCAATGCCGTAATGATTTACTTCCTATTTTGAATATGAACTTATTACACTCTTCAGCACTGTAAGTTTCGGCTGCTCTCCTGAGTAATGAAACGATGCCTTTGCCCCGATACCTAGTCTTCAAATTACTTTCTATATGGTAGATGCAATACCTATGATATGTCTCGAAAAAAATTTCAGCGATATCATTTATTATAGATTGCCCCCGATCGGTTACAAAGACAAGGTCTTCGACTTCCCCGATCACTTCCCTCAGTTTAGAAAAGAACCAACGCATGGACAGATCATTCTCGTTGTCGACTATGCCGAATGCAATAGGGTAAATTTGAATGTTGACGTCTTGACATGTAGCAATAATTAATTTGCCTTGATATTTAGCTTTCTGAGTTGTACCATCAACTAGAATTACGTGTCGCATTGCATTTCGAAAATCCCGAATA